CTAGCTGGTTCTGGCCCTGTCCCCTTCAAAGCCTTTCCTCCCTACAGTGTAATGTGATCATGTTATCTTCTTCCATAAAGCCTTGCTGTATTGTACCACCATGGGCCCGAAACACGTGGGCATGTTCTTGTTGTGCCCCGGATGGAGTAAAGCTTGCCACCATGTTGGTTGATGTCAATCACTGCCACCTGGCTCCACTTCTCCCTCATTGTTTTGAGTCACGCTCAACTACTTATACTACACACGCTGCCGTTCTGAAGGGAGACTGTGGCAGGGAGCTCATGAAGCTTAACAGGCAAATCTCGAGAGAGGATTCTAGCTGGCTTGATCAACATAGCTTGGATACCCCAGGCTTAGATCCAGAAGCCATTCCAGTTTAAAGTGCTAATGATATCCTAGTCCCTAGCTGCTATGATCTATAACTGGAATCAAATAATATTTATTTAAAAGTAACAATCAAATCTTATTTGCTTGTTTACAATTTTATTATCAGACAAAAAGTTAGGAGGGCATTTATAGAGCAGTTTATAATTTGGAATGTTCAGGGGACTGATAAACGTATTTTGCCAAAGGCCAGATCATAAATATTTTAGGCTGTGTGAGCCACGTGGTCTACGATTGTGACTCAGCCCTGCGTATAGGGAGACAACAGATGCAGGCAGTAAGTAAAAAACAGGAAGCCTATATTCCAAGCAAACTTTATTTGTGGAGATTGAACTTTCAATTTCAGAAATGTTCATGTGTTATCAAGTATTATTTTAAAATGTTTCATAGGGCCAGCCAAATAGCTCAGTGGATTAAAGCGCCTTCAAGCAGGCACAGTGGCTGGGGGTTCAATTCCTAGGCCTGCCGTGCTGGCTCCGACCCTGGGGCAGTGTGAGACAACAATTGAGACTGACCATGGTGGCGTGCGCCTGTAATCCCAGCTCTTGGGAGGCTGTAAACAGAGAATCACTATAAGTCCGAATTAGTAGTGAGACCCTGAACACCCTGTAGATCCTTCCCTAAAATACAGAAAAAATTTTTTTTTCATGTTGTTAGTACACGTTCATAGCACGTGAGTACATTCATTGTGGGGAGCTGGTACAAGTACCTAACACATCTTAATTCCTTTTACTTCTCCTTCTCTCACCCTAAATATTATTTTTATTTTGAGTTCTCTTCTCCCAAACATTTAACAGTGTTAAAGGGTTCTCAGGCCATACAGGAAGATGCAAGCCTGCAGGTTGTAATTTGCTGACTCGAGTCACATGAAATTAGGATTGGAAGAATGAAACAGAACAGAGACACTGAGTCCCCTGCAGAAATGGATAATCCATTTTGTGCTTATTTTAATGTTATCTTTTTGAATTATTTTTCTTTCCTTTAGCAAAGACTTACTATTATTCACCTGTCTGTCTTTTTCTTAGGAAAAAAGAGGCCAAGCTGTTTTATTGAAACATTACTATAGGAAGAAAATGATCTGGAAAAAATGGTCATGTGAATCTAGGTCCATAAGTATTGAATTTTGCATGAGGTATTCTGGGATGAAGCATAACATACGTATATGTTCAATATAAGTCAAGATGAAAGGAATTATAGGGGTAAAGCAGAATATTGTAGGATCATATAAGGAGGGGAATAATTCTGTTTATGGAATTGACTGGGTTTATTGAAGAAATTGGTAAACAATCTGGTAGGGCCAGTTTACATTAGATAATTGTTGTGGAAAAGACTAACACTACAGAAGACAAGTATTTTAAAATAATTTTAGTATTTACAACACTAATAATAATTAAACATTACTTTTGCAGCATTCACAAACTTTTTAATATCTAATAAATCAAGGAGAAGGGGTTTATAAAATAGTTGATCCTGAAGAAAATCACACAAAGGGCTGAAGGCACCAACTTCTTCCACAGTGCACAGGACCATCTATCTTTCCTCTCACCCTGGGGAAACCTTTCCCAGGTTGTTTTCTCTTACCTTAGCAGAGAAAACTGGAAGTGAATGAAAGCAAAGGCACTTGCTTCCACTGTCCACACAACATCTAGAAACCAACCGGAAGACCAATGTCTATGTTCTGAATTTATGTAGAAATCATACCTGTGTAATTAAATAAGACCTGATTTGG